TTAAGCAGGACACTATTTGTGTCCTAATGATTTATGTGTTCCTTATTTTCTGGTAAATGTCCTTTTTTCCTGTGGCCAAGCATGGGAGAAAAGAAAACCAGAACAAAATATGTATGTTATGATTTACCGAGATGAAAAACTTCATCTCTATTTTTCCACTACCATAATTATCACAACAAAGTAATTAATGAGATTTTTCTGTCATAAACTGACGTTAATGGCCCTTTGCCTTTAGAGAGAGAACACTAACACTTTATTTTCATTTTCACTGAAACTCTTGAATAAAGAAAAATCTTCTAGGGGTGTCTGTTTATACATTTAAGATGGGCTACAGTGAACTCACTCACTCCCTTAACTCCCATGTGAAAATAATCGAAAATAAACGGTGTCACCATTAAAGAATAATGTGTCTTGCAACCACAAATCTCTTAAGAATTCAAAGGGGTGGAAAGTTTGTGTAATGCAAGCTCTTTCTCCTTCCCATGTAGGGCCTGAAGATATAACTGGGGTGGGGGCGGGGTGGGGACAGAAGGGTAGGCTGGAAAGAGTGGCAGGGACTAAATGTAATGAGGATTTTCTGGGGAGAGCAGTCTACACTTGGGTCTGGTACCCCCTGAGCTACTAGTAAGCACTGAAGATCATACTTGTAGGACGTAGAACAACTGAACTGAAAAAGGGACCTCAGAGCTTGCTTACTGGTGAGTTTTACAGATGGAGCAGCAACACAGAGGTGAAGCCACTTGTCAAAAGAAAACTGACAAAAAGGGTCAGTTTTACTGATTTCCAGTTGCTACCCCCTTTGTGGAGGTGCTGGTCCGCAATCCCACTGCAAGTGATGTTATATTGCTACATGGCTGGTGTCCCCCGAACAGGTTTGATAAGAGGATTCTTTTAGGGCAGGAGGAGTTGAAGGATTCAAAGGAATCGGTTGCCTGACAGTATCATCACCCTATAACATCATGTATTTAATGCTGATTGAATCTTATTCTCAGAGAATCTGCCCTGCTATCAAGGTGAGAAATTTTTTATGAAAAGGAAGACTTAACCTTTTTGAATGAAAAAGACAGTATATTTGCGGGCTTGTAAAGCATTCAAATAAAAACCATTACTGGACACTGCACGGCCGTTATTTAAGATGTGGCTATTGGTCATTCAAATGCATTTTTAATGCAGTGGCAGCTTATCTTTTCCTGCCTAATTTAATCTTTCAACAGATAATATTTAGAGCAACTAATGGTATGCATTTTAGGAAGACACACCTCTTTGGGAGTGAAAGACACAGACGCACTACGTATGTCTGTGTGCGTGTCTGTAATGGTGAAATGAAGCAGACAGAAGAGCAGAGAAGGGCTGAGGAGGAGACCCACAGCGGGAGGAGCTGGACGCGGGGCAGTGAGCGTGACTGGCAGTGGTGAGGAGCGTGCGGAAGGACGTTTCCGTAGATGGTGTACATGAGCCAGTGTAGGGGAATGTGCGTAACCAGGTGAGGGTGAGCTGACCACACTGCCTGGCATCCAGAATTCACCTGGAGGACAGGAGGATGAGGTGGAAGGACAGGCAGACAGGCCAGAGTGCGGAAGACTGTGAATGTCAGATTCAGGGTTTGCACCGGCTTAGGTAGGAAGAGGGGGCGCTGATGATTTCTGGGAAAAATTCAGGGGATGTGCAGGAGAAAGAAGTTAAAGGTACTGACAGGAATTAGAAAATGATCGGCACAGTCCAGCTAATGAACTATTTCTGGAATGAGGACGGTGGCAATGAGAATGGAAAGGAAGAACGGATGTGATAGCTAAGCGGCGGTGAGTACACCTGACTGGCAGGCAGTGCAATGACCTCCCTCCTTCACCGAGCGCCACTCAAAGCCTGGTAAGAACTGCCCACTGTCATCTGCAAGCACAAAGTGTGTAAGGAGGTATAATTTAATGCTCGCCTGGCTAAGGAAGGGGGTCTTCAGGGCTTGCTTAAGTCTGCATACTTTCTGAAAGCTTCTCTTTCCATCAGAAGAGAAAAGCAGAGACAAGTGTGTCCTAACCAGTCCTCACTAGGCACTACCTACTGTGAAAACCGCTCACACGAGGGGAGAAAAAAGGTCAAATTAGAAAGTCATCACTTAACAACATTTCATTGCTGCCATTCACATGGAACAATTTATGCTTTGCCAAGCCCTTTCCTACTTATTTTCTCATTTCCCCTAAAGCGGCTCAAGGTATTAAGGGGGGGAACTGCTGGCCCCATTCTGCAGAAGACAGCTACAGCCTGCCCGTGGGCACATGGGTGCCCAGGACCAGCATTCTGGCAGCTCTTACCACTACGACCTTGCAATGCCATTGCTGCGTGGTCTCAGTTAAACGCAAGTGGTCTGAACCTTATGGGATTCATCATAGCCACTGGCAGGATACAATATGGGTGAAAACCCAGCCAAGGGAACAGATAAAGGCTGCCCAGAAAATGTCCTCCCCCGAGTGAAACACAGTCCAGAGCCCAGCTGGGAATTCCATTGCCGCCCCGCGTTTAGGAATTGCTTACTTTTATTTCTTGGCTCCGACCTCCCATTCCTGTCCTTGTCTCTTCTCATCTCCCTTCTTTTCTCTTTCTTCTGGCAGCCAGAGCTCCACTCTGCACACGCACGTGCTCACGCACACACACACACACGCCCGTCTCAGCATCTAATACCACCTTTTAAAAACACATCTTGCTCTAAGCAGCTTAGCCTTCTGCAGGTGGCCCGATTTAAAATTGATACCATAGAAGCATTCCGTATCATGATTAGCTTTTGATTCCTTTGCCCTGCATATTAAAGAAGCAGAAATAAAATAAACAAAGTTCACAGGGAAGGAAAAATTAATGCAAAATGAGAGACTCTTTCAAGTGGCATTTTCAAGCCCAGTTTTTGTGGGAAGCTTATGTAATCAGACATAAGTGTCTGCACATGTTTGGCCACACTATTTCAGAAATGACTCCCAGGCCATCAGATGACGTCAGAGGGGTCAACGCTGACCTCCCAGAGTCTGAGAGCTGCTCTCTTCAGTCCTACCCAATTAGGAAAGGAAGATGCCAACCAGCCGAACCGTCAGCCCATTTCCCACCCAGTCACGCAGACTTGCGGCAGTTCCATTGCGGAGCATGCTCATATTCTCATCCCCACGCCCTGGTACTTCCCTCACATTCTTGTCTTTCATTTGCATGTACAGCAAAGGTTTCTCTGGAAAAATCTACCTTGTATCTCAAAAAAGATTGAGGCAATGCATAAATGCATATATGCTTGAACCCACCGCACACACTGATGAGCACAGAGCAACTTCATTCATCTGGAATCCATTTTAGAGAATGTACGTCGCCACGATGGTCCTGGATTATTGAGAGCAGGTTTCCAGCAAGTCGGCCATGAATGCAGCAATAACAACTAGTATAAGCACAAGAAGGGGGGAGTCCCTCTGCTTTGGAAATGCTTTCTAGAAACTGACACTGCTCAGAGTATGTTTAATGGGTTTACCTTTGATTTCTTGTTTCCCTCCCAGAGAGGGGCTTGGTAAATATTACATAAATTTGGAGGGGATTCTGCCTAAGGAAGACGAAAAATAAAGAATTCCTAATTGGAAGGGGCCTTCAAAGTCATCAGGATAGATATTTATAACCCGATACTTAACTCCCTGGTACAACACCCTTACTGAGTAGGCAGCCAAACCTCGTTCGAATGTTTCGAGGACAGGGAGGTCTTCACTTCCAGAGGCGGCCAATCCTTTCTAACTGTGAGAAAGTCCTATCGCGCGCTGAAGTGAACTGTGTTTCTCTGAACCATCCCCTCAGCGATCCTCTCTTAGCCCTTCCACGTCATGCACGACAAGTCCGATCTCCCTCACAAGCAAGAGCGGGTCTAGAAACATTTTACGCCACCCACACCACCTCTTTTATGGGCTATGAGCTCCTAATGCTTTCGACCTCTCCTCCTCTGAGGGAAGAGCTGGGATGCTCCTGGTTCCTTCCAGTGTGGCCTGGCCACGTGCGATGTGACCGCTGCAGGCGTGAAGGCTCTATCCCCGGCCCTGTGCAGACGCGGCCCCTCTGTCAGTACCGGCTGGGATCCGTGCCTCGTGCTGACCTGTCCTTTCTTCCATTCCCCAAGTTACTTTAACCATAATGACAGATACAAACAACAAAAACTCATCACCATCAACCAACCATAATTTTCTTCAATAGTTCTGAGCCAACGGATCTCGCGGAGCATCCTGCAACCTTGAACAAAGCCCGAGAAGTCAGCCCTGATCTAAAGAACAGCCTCCTTTTCCAGGCTACCCTTCTGTCCCAGCCTGCTGTCACCGCAGCTGAGACACCAGACGATTGATCTGAGAAATCAAGTTGGATTGCTGTCCCAAATCCACATTTGGTTCCCCTTGTGTCTGTCTGATCGATTTCACTCGGTGCGACATAGCTTGTCGCTATGAATTTTCATGCTAGTCAGGAGCCGCCAGCACACCCCCGAACAAGTACAAGATGGCCTGTAATCCTCCCCG